TTCTACAGATTCTCACAGTATGTCAGGCTTTTCTGGTAAGTGCTATTTGTGGGACTCCATGAAACCCTTAGAGTTCACATTACAATCTTCTGATACGAAGGCTGATGTGAGAAACTGCACGTTGATGTTAAAGTTAAGTATTAGGCTGGAACTCTTGGCTGAATCCTGAGAAATGTTTCCTGTACTTTATATCAACTTTGTTCTGAAACAAAGATACAACCTCTGATGCACCCCTGTGAAGAAAGATTCTTTCACAGTGAACAGATAAGAAAAATTCATTTAGTTTGTCTGTTATGGCCTCACTTCCTCCCAGAGCTTCTCATGTATTTTGCTCCAAAAAGACACCTAGCTTTCTATTTCCTTTGCAAAACTAAAATATTTTACTCTCCAGTGAGAGGACTCAAGAAATAGAATACACTGCATAATCCTCTTATGGTCGGTACCAAGAACGTACACGCAAGCTTGGGTTGTACCTACATTTTGCATACTGTGCAGAAGGGTGTATGGTACAAAAGACAGAGGATTCATTCTCTTCTTACTTTATACACACACAGGAGTAAATCTGCTGAAGCAGCTCAATAAAAACAATATTGCAACTAAGTTAAAGAAGAACAGTGAAGGACAAAAGGTCTATCTTGAGCTAGAAGTGAAAGCAAGAAACTGAAGAGATTCTTTTCTGCTACAAATGAAGTCTGACACGAGTTCTGCACTCTGCTGGATGGAGACTTTTTAACAAGATGTTTCTCTCAAACAGTTCTGATTGATTGAGTCAGAGTGAATGCAGTCATGGAAGTGTAGCTGCTTCATGGGGTATTTGGGTAGCAGCAGAATGAATAACTATTACATAGGGGTTAGGGCAATTGCACAGGATGCAGGAAATCTTTATGTTTAGTCTTTACTGCCCTTAGAAGTTGCGAGTGAGTCAGTCCCATTGGGGGATCTTTGTATTTCTTTCTCCACACCTAAGCAAATAATCCTTGATTTGGAGAGAGATGTTGGGATCTATAGATTATAGATGCGGGTCTGGACAATATGAAAATGCAGCACTGAGAGTGTTACTGAAGTATGGCTTTTGGGAATGAAAATCAGATGTTCTGGAATGTCATTCAGCCCTTCACCATCAAATACATTTAATAGGAATTATTTAATTTGATCACAATCCAACTATTTCTTAAAAAGAATTGAAAATCACTTTATTTTTTATATGTCAGCAATAAAGAAACACTGCAGAAATCTTTCTCAGATGTATTGTCCCTCCTGAACACATCCTTTCATATTCTACTTTTCATGGTGTGACGATCTCAAACAAAACTGTAAACGGAGAAAGCAAACCAGTGACGCTTTACTGTGTGAAGACAGAAGAGATCAGAGGAAAGAAGAGGATTTTTGTTTCAGTTTTTGTGGGGTTTGGGTTTTTTTGTTTTGTTCTAATGTTTAAAATATGCAATTCTGGGATAATATTTTAAGGTCTATTTCCCAAATTCTTCTTAGATCACTAGAGGTAAAATAATTAATTATTTCCTTATGATAGTTCTATTCTGAGTATGAAAAATCCAAGTTGTGATGCTCCAGGAAGTTGGGCAAAGCACTCCAGCTTTGCCGGCATTACTACTTCTTTCTCTCCTTGACACAGCATCAATGCAGCTGACAAAATATGGCATGTATCTGTGCTGGGAGATTTGACCTGAGGCTTGTCATCAGGCTCCTGCGGGCTTGATATAATTGACTGTTTGGCTTTGACAGTCCTTTTCAGCAATTGTATGAATTAACCCTGGGAACTGAGGGGTCCCCACACCAGCATGACACTCAATTTCTCTCCCCTAGACAAGAACTTAATGGATTATGTGATGCAGGTTTCTTCCTGAATCACCTACTGAAACATCTGTTTAAGATGAAGAAGAATTGGGGAACCCATTTTCCATAGGTCAACAATCAAATAAGAAAACATTTCTAATAATTCAATAACTCTTGATCATGCAGCCACCAGTTGGCAAGTAAAAAGAGTAACATATATATCCACACATCTTCTTTTATCCTATGGTGTGTTTGGCAATCTTGAGTTGCTAAGAATAAAGGAAAAAAGTTATTCTTTAATTTGAACCCAACTTGCTGGCAAATTAATCTCTGTCAGGTACACATCAAAGCAGAGATGCTCTTTCTTGGATAATCTGAACACTGCAGCACAAAAGAGAACAGAAATTAAATTACAGTTGTGATCTGCGCAAAGACTCTAAAAAGCAATGTAAACACGAAACCTGGAAACTAAATATATGAGCTAAGGCAGCAAAGGAAGCTGTGAACATATTCTCACTAAATCTTGCTTCTATCAAAAGCCTGAGTCAACCTATCAAAGAAATCCCATTAGTACCAAAGCAAGAGCCTAGATACAGATCCGGTGAACTACTACCGGATTATTTGCCTCTGCTTCAGGGATTTTTCTTCCATCTACAATTCACCATGGATTTGTTTAACAGCAGGAACTGTTTGTTTAAAACCTCAGGTGTGCTTGATATTTTCTTTTTCCAAAACCAGTTATAACCTCTATTTTTCTAAAGAAAAATTAACCCCAACCGAGAAAAAAATCATTGGAGATTGAAGAAGGCTTGGTTTTGTTTTTTTTCCCCCCTTTATCTCATTCAGTTCTGTTCAACTGAAAAAGAAGAAAAGTTCTGATAGCCTGTTCCTATGTTTACTTCTTACTTAAGGCTTCGCTTGAAAAAAAAATAATTTTAAAATAAACTCAAGCAAAAACTTTTGAGAAGGAGAGCTGGAAGTTTGTGCCATAATCAACCATCTCATTTCTGTGAAAAGCATAACAGTGTTTTTCACCAGGCTTTTAGCTAAAGATAGCTAGCTCTTACTAATAACATATTCATACTCTGGGAGAAATCCAGCCTAGGGGTCTGAGCTATAGAGGCACCGGTCACCTGCAGCTCTCATCAGCTTCAATGGGAAGTAGATGTCTCTGTAGATCAGAATTTACTGGAACAGAATTTCAGCCTCAGGATAAAATGAGACTTTTTAAAGAAATTTAATTTACAGAGAGAAATATGACTGCTTAGGGTGGTTGCAAGCTGCTATGTAAGGATCTCTCCAAAGGCCCGAGCCAGTGTTTGATGGAGTAGTGGCAAGGGCATCTACTATTGTGGCTACAACTCATATCAATCGTTACTCTCCTTAATTTAAAAACATAGTCAACCAAAAAAAAAGCCCCAAACCAAACAAAACAACCCTCACAATTGGAAGTGATTGATTTCCAACAGATACAGAAGGAAAATTAAACTCGAACAGAGTATAAGGCACAATATGAACGGTATGATAGCTTTAGCACTAGGGAATTACTTAGGTTCCCAATTCTTTGAATGTTCTTTATGTAGAAGTTACTGGTGTAAAACAAACTACTTTTTTGAATAAAACATCAAGAATTCCTTCCAAACGTACATGAAAATTGTAAATGTGCACATAAATACTTGGTTTTGAATATGTTGTAAAAAGAAATTTTAGTGAAACCTTGTAAGAAAAGGAAGGCAAAAGATGACATGAGGCAAAAAGAATTGTAATTGCCTAAGTTTCAGAAATCAAACAGCTGGTGAAACGAAGCTCATTTTAATGTCAAGACCTAGATTACTTGAGAAAGTAATTTTGGAGAAATACTAGAGAAATACTTAGTAGAAATTTTGAGAACTTTGGAGAAATACTTAGTAGAAAGCTATTTTGGAGAAATAATGATGGGGGCTGAACTGTGGTTAGAAACCAAGAGAAAAAACAAGGCCATTTATAGGACATGCTAAGGGCTAAATTTTCAGAAGTCCTGGATATTAATTTATTTCTAGTGTATTATTAATTCCCATATTATTTATGATTTCTCAAGAGGGATATGGACATATTTGTGAAATACTGTTTTCCACTATTTACAGCTTCATTTTTTTTCTGTCATGTCCTGAGTTATACACCTTGATTACTTGCAAAATTACGCATCAGATAAGTTACTACTAAGCAAAAATTTTTTTGGAAATATTTTTTTTACATGGAGTTCTGAGTCTGTTTTCAAATAAAAGCAAAATTACTTTAGCCTAAAGTGAAATAAAAGAAGAAAAAAGCAAACCACGATATTCGATTATTTTCTTTCCTCCATGAGAGGTGTCCCTTCCCACAGCAGGGAGGGTTGGAACTAGATGATCTTTAAGGTCCCTTCCAACCCAGTCCATCTATGATTCTATGATTTTTCAGAGCAGGCTGTCACTCTGAGGATTGAGTAGACTGAGGACCTTTGACAAACAAACTCCTTGTTATTTGTAGTCATTTGCTTGGCCAGTTAGGACTGTGAAAAGTCCTAGCTAGCCAAGTCCTTCCTGAGACTTGAAGGTACCAGATACACTGATCTTTCTTTTCTTCTTCAGTACTGCTGCTGCTATTCTTAGGGAGAAGCTGAGGTATAGCTTTTAGCTTCCTATGAAATTACCACATTGGTTCAGCAGCCTGAATCTGCTTTAGGAAACAGTAATCATGTTAAATCTCCTTTAATTTTAATAATGGTAGAAGGAAGGATGCATTTTGAAAGCCTTTGAAGGCAAGAGTTTAACACTGTGAGGATTACCAAGATAAGGATGGTTGATTCAGGCAAACCAATTTATGACTGATTCAGTTTAATACCCTTATATGTCTCCAACAACCATTTTACCTTAAAGCAAGATGCAACTTCTCTTTCTTTTTTTTAGCCAGAGTTTTTGTCAGTTCTTAGTCTATAGTTTTTATTCTAAAACCAAGCAGAAGAACAGGCTTTGCAGCAGTAGGGACTGACACCTTAGGGCACAGGGCCCTGTTTATTTGGGTCGTGTTTAGAGAATATTTTCTGATATGGTTAGATTTCATAGACATATTAGAAGAAAACACATAGAATCATAAAGTTTGGAAAAGACCTCTAAGATCACAGCTTGAATCCAATCTGCTTCTAAGCTCTGAGCAAAGCTGTAGACCAGCATTAGATAAGGTTTGCTTACCTCTTCCTGCTGAAGTTGTTTTCACTGACGGTAGTGAAGACTGAGTCTTGGTCTCCTCTCCAAGAAAATATTTCCTACGTATAAAGCAAAACAGTATTAAGTGAGACATTAGTTGCCAGTAGCCTGGTGATTAAAGAAGGTAGGACTACGGGGCTAAATGTCCTCAGGCAGGAGAGGGAGAAAATTTGTAGCTCTGTATGGTGTTTGGTCCCTGATTCACTGTCACTAGTGTCACAGGGGAGTTTTTGTGAGCATCTAGGCTGCCACTTTCTTCATTGATTTTGCAAGGACCTAATCTGAAAAGTCAATTACTTACTAGGCCCTCTCTGTAATAACTCTCAAGCAGTACTGTGAGTAGCAAGGGACATTGAGTTGTTCCCTCTTATCTTCTTCCAACAAACAGCAAACTCAACTGGCATGACCAGCTGGCATTTGTTATCACAATTACAGAATACCTCTATTTTTTTCACGTTAAACCTTGTACCATGGTGCTTGAGTACCCTGCTTGCTACTGTCAACCTAAGGACATCAGTCCATCAAGACTTGGTGGTAACAAGCGAACCAGGCTCCAAGTGTTTTACACAAATGAACACCTAAATTTTTGTACATGTATGAGGGACTCAGTATGCCAGCTATGCAACAGTGCAGTCAATATTCTACTAGAGAATAGAGTCAACATGGACTAGTAAATGGTACATTGAAAAGAGAAGATGAGAGAGAATCATTAGGTTTACACAACTTCTCAGTCCAGTGACTGACCTTCTGTATGACTTCAGGCCACTGGTTTCTGCTCTCCTTTCCCTTCTTTCCTGGTCACTGAAAGATATGTATCTCTAGGGATACCAGCCAATTTGTGCAGTAGGCACCTAGTTGCACCTGTGGTGTCTCGGTCCTGTGTGCAAACAGAGCAAAATACTGCTTCTCTGTTTCCCAACTCAAGTTCTAGCCCAAAGATTGTCTACTCTGACTTTTTTTGCTCCGCTCTGACAGCCTGAAGCCTAAATCATGATTTCTGAACCACATAACTTTTTCATTAGAGAGAAAACTCTATCATCAGCCTCTGTGATTGCAGAAGGTCCTGAATGTAATCATCTCCAGTAATTAGATCTAAAGACAGACCACTTGGGATTCTGTAATTCATGAAACTTTCAATATGTTACAAATCATAATTTGCTCAGTTTTTAAAATGATGACACTATCAAATGTATATGAATTATTTCAAAGGCCTCACTGGGCCTTTATTTTAAGAAGACAAACAAAATAATACATCATTTACCTGGTACTGTATCACAGGCACCTGATAAGGGACATAGGGACTTCTACAGTAGTGTAGGGAAGGGTAATGACAGGAAAGCAAAAGCATTTAAACACCATAATTAGCAGAATTTTCTTATATATTGGTGCTTTTTTTAATCTGTTATCTCCACTCTACGTGCCTAATGTAGCCTGGGCACTTATATGAGTATTGTCTCATGCAGAGTCACTGGTAGTTAATAAGGCATGATGTCACAGCACATCTTCAGGGACAGCTATGAGGTTGCTCTTCTCTATCAATCCACTTCTTTTTGTGAAACTTTCAGAATTCAGTTCCTTCATCAAGTTTGGTTGAACTTAGCCAGCAGGTTCAAAAAGTAAGGAGGGCTGCAGGATCAGATGTGTATGCATTATGCAGTAAGTGTCATTGCAAAAGCTTCAGTTTTTACCAACTGGATAGTAATAATGATAGAAAAAGAAGGTATATAATAGGAAAAGTTTGAAGATGTGTTCTGGAGAGCATATCTCTAAGGGCTTTCTACCTAGGGGTTTATGCTCACCAACTTTTGGAGAATATCTCTTTCGAGGCAAGATGGTTCTCTGAGTCTGCAGACAGTTGGGTTTAGTTTGGGTTTTTTGTTTTTAATATTACAGGATCAGATGCCTGGGGATTATACTCTAATTCTATAAATTGTGGAAAGAAGACAGGCTTTTACACAGATACTGTGAATTCCTTACCTTTCCAATTCTTGACTTAGCAAACTTAATTTCACTGTTTTTTAAGGAGTTGTCTTCGTAGAAGACAACAGTTTATAATTATCAACCATATAATAAATGTTTTTACTCCACACTAATAACATTAACAAGGTATTTGAATAAGAACAATGTGGTTTAAAACACTTTTATTTCATATACATATGTTGTTTTTCAAATAATTTAAAGGAAAACAAATACTAAACAGTACAACTTCTGTTATTGAAGTTTTAAAGAAAGTTAGAGAATGAAAGCAAATATTTGTGTAAATTACAGTGCTGAATCAATTTTGCCAATAACTTTTCCCTATCTTCCTGTAAGGTACATAAGAATTTTTCTTCTTCAATTCCATTTATTCATTAAGTTTAGGTTAATTTTTAATACAATAAAAGTGAAGAAATCCTGTGAGAACTGAAGAGAGAGCAATGCTGGGGTTTTGGTTTTACGGGGTTGTTTTTTCTTCAGTAATATTAAGGAGTAATGGAAGGATGAGATCTATTAACTTAAAATGCAGAACAACACAGGAACCAAATTTTTTTATTAAACTTTTGATAGTTGATATTACCTTTATTGAAAAACTTTAATGCAAGCAAAAATGTATCTAGAGAAACTTAAATATTATAAATATATAAAACACAAATGTAATTATAAGTAATAAAAGAGAAAGTAATACCGATCTGTACTTTCAACTGAGTTTCACATTCTATGTAAAGAGAGCTAAACACAAGGTTAAGAAATACTTTGTTCACTTTTCCATCACAATGACAAACTAAAAAAATTGGTAGTGCATCCCTTGGCTTTGCAAAAGGAAAGAGCAAGGTGTAGTATTAAGACTTGTTTATACAAAAGATTGTGTATTTAAATGTTTCATGTTATTTGTGCATGTCCATGTCTATGTACCTGCAAAAATGTTTTGTTACCACTTTTTGAGCAAAAAGGCACAAATATCAAAAAACCTTGTCAGCCGTGATTAACATTCATTTTCACCAGGCTACTGAAATTGTAGTAAAAATAGGGGCATCAAAATTCATTTACGAATGTCTCTCATGTTCTGTAATTACAAACACAAAATACTGCGTTGTGAATAGAAAATTATTTTTTCCTCAGAATGAGCCCATATGTACAAGTCCTGAATTGAATCCTCCTCACTCTCCAAAGGTTTCACTGTGCACTTTTTAGTATTATTTAAGTGTTATGATTAAGATGGTAATAACACTTTTCTAGGAAAACTACCATTAGAGATGCCACAGGTATGTAAGAATAGAAAAGTGATTAAAAGTGGTAGAAACTGTAGACATCTCATGTACAAAAAAGAAACCTGTACTTCCCTCTCTCTTTCATGGAGCTAGAAGGAAATGGTTACTGTGGTAAATATGTCCATTACAGTCTCTGCAGAGCTTGTAGGACAGAGAAATTGATCTTGTCAAAGAGAGAGGTTTTCAGAGTTATTTTTAACAAAGCCAGTCTTCTTTCCAACATTTTGAAACAAGTGTCATTATGGATACCTTTAATTAGGATATTTTACATTAAATTAAGTATTTTATTTCTATTTGTCATGATTTACCTCCAGATGTCAGTTCAACCCCACACAGTCACTTTTTCACTCTTCCCTGGTGGGATAAGGAAAAGAATCAGAAGAGTAAAAATGATAAAACTCATGGGTTGAGATAAAGACAGTTCAATAGGTGAAGCAAAAACATCACACACAAGCAAAGCAAAACAAGGACTAGATTCACCACTTCCAGTGGGCAGGCAGGTGTTCAGCTGTCCCCAGAAAAGCAGGACTCCATCACATAATGGTGACTGGGGAAGACGAATGTGATCGCTCCAAATCCTCTCCCTACCTTATTCTTCCCCCAGCTTTACATGCTGAGCATGATGCCATATGGTATGGAATATCCCTTGGGTCAGGTGGGATCAGCTGACCCGAGTGTGTCCCCTCCCAACTTCTTGTGCACCCCATGCCTCCTCACTGGTGGGGTGGGGTTAGGACTAGAAAAGGTCTTGGCTCTGTGTAAGCGTTGCTCAGCTATAAGGAAAACTTCCCTGAATAATCAACACTGTTTTCAGCACAAATCCAAAACACAGTCCCATAGCAGCTACTGTGAAGAAAATTAACTCCACCCAGAAGTCAAAAGCAGCACAGCATTATATTTATATTTTGCTTAATAATAAGACAAATCATAAGCTAAAGGGGGAGTTCCTAGAACATAAATCAGTAGCAGCAAAAATCTGTTTTAAAAGATGTTTCACAACGTTAGGACTTCTAAAGTTCAAATCCCCCCTTGGTCTACAGAGATCTTTTTTTGTATTACAAGGAATAAGGAAAACTTAAAAATCATTATTTATTTCCCAACATGCAAACTGCGATTTACAGAAGTGTAAAGAGAGTCCTTGTACTGAAGATCCTAAACTCTAAATGACAGAAGTTTTGTTTTCACACATGCAAAGGAAAAAAAATGTTATATCAGCATTTGTGAAAAACTAAATAATTTAAAAATAATTGATGAAGACAACTGTAACTACAGTTTGTGTAATACTGTGTAATATTTCTTCAATAATTACTTATCAGTCAACTAAAGAGGCATCAGATAAGTGAAAAAAAGGGAACTGTAAAACATCTTCAGTGTCCTTTGACAAGTGGCATAAAGAAAACAGAAGAAATAAGTAAAAATAAAAAAGATAAAAGCTAACCTAGTTTAAAAATAGTTATGGGGGCTTGCTTTTATTATTTTTTCCTTTCTTTTAAGAGTTGTTTAAACTGCTCATTTATAATTGAGCCTTTCAAATACACAATTTGTTAGAGTAATATGTACCTCAACTTTGTCTCTGTCTTCAGACTGACTGTTATTTGAAGGCCTTATTTTATATGGCTGGACTAATACTACTGCACAAATTGCTACCTTTTGAAGGCTGTGATATGAACCTGCCTGAACAACTGCCACTTTAGCACAACAATAAAAAATACCTTTCATATAACAACTCTCTTCCTTTCAGAAGGAATAATGACATGAAGCAAAATAAAAAGGCACAACTAACCCTTTTCCCAGAGGAGTCATGCTTTGGGGGTATCTTCTCCCCCCCCCTCACCTTCCAGAATTTCAGAGGTAACACACCAACATGGGCACGTGCAGCACACATCTCCTGCGGCACTGCTCACCTTAATCACACCCTGTCCTCTCCATGGACTCTGCAGATACTCGGCAGATACACCAAAGCAAATCTTAGTTATGTGGGGTTTTCTAAATACCCCTGCCCACTCCCTAATTGCACTGGGGTTCCTCTTCTGTTCCCTCTGCCCTGCCCAGCTTTGCAGGGTCCCATGGGGCTTCCTCCTCTTTTCCCTCCCTGTCTCCTCACTGAAGGCAGGGAACACTTCTTTTAATAAAACAGGAAAGATAGGATATGATCCCTGCATGAGATCATGGGAAGGGATGCATGTTAGGTGATTCCCTCGTGTGTGGGGGCTGCCTGCCTGCACTGAGAAGAGTATGTGCATATCCCAGAACTCAGTTTATCCATATGTTAGGCTAAAAGTGGTTGTTTTCAGTGCTCTTAGATGTCCAGATCAAGTGTCAGCCTAGCTGTGAGGTTTTGAGTTTATGTTGTAATCAATCAGTCAGACAATCAATTTTAACTCGGTAAAAAATCCTACATTTGAGTGCTTGTTGTTCACACCAAGGTCACTCTTAAAAGATATTCATCAAAATTTTAGTCCTCCTAATCTCATAGACTAGATGTTTAGTTAAGTATTTCTGACTAATAGCCAGCTCTTTTCAGCATGGATATCCAGTCTCACTGTCTTGAGCCTGGCCTAATGAAAATGGTCAACACGCCAATTCAACTTAAGCTATTCCTCACCAGAACTATTTTTATTTCAGCTACTGAGTTCCTTTTTGTTTTCCATTCAACTGCTTCCTAGTAAAATTAGGCTAATTCCTAGTAAAAATAAGCTAAAACCCGTGTATACTATTTTGTGTACACAGCAGCTCTTATTTAGCTAATACAAAGTTCTCATCATGCAGATAAGACCCAGCAGAAGGGAAAGAGTCTTGAACAGGATGCAGAATTTGATTCTCACTCAGACACACAGTTGTCCTTTCTACTATTGACTTAGGGGGAGAGCAGAGTGGTGAAAATTGGAGCTGTGTTTTTATGTCATATTTGCCCTGTGCATAAACAGGACTTCAGGACCTCACATTATACAAGAAGTATATAACTCTCACTAGCAGCTGCCTTCAGATAACAGATTTTCATTATTCTCTCTCCTTCTAGTTCAGAATTCACACCGAAGATGAAAATCAAACATTTTTTACCTATCTGCTTTTTATCCACTTGGACTATAAAATATTGCAATTTGATACTATGATATTAATGAAGCGGTCAGATGTCAGTTCTGCAAGGGTCTTAATGTCAGGTACAATGCATCACTTAATATACCTACAAATCTAAATAAACAGAGGCTGAAGTCCAATGAGAAATCTTTTGGAAAACTAAATGAGGATATTTACTTCTTACTTTGCCCAGCAGTCTAGGATGAGCTGCAGTTTGTGGTTACAAAAGTGCTCTGAGGCTTTGCCCTTCTTGTTACAGAGCAGCACCTTGAACCTTCAGCCTCAGCTGATCTGTGTGCTATGTAACTAGGGATGGGAGAAGCAGAGCTCCTACAAAGAGGGTCCTGGATGCAGAAGGTCTCAGATCTGGTAACAGAGTTTCACCTGGTAACACATGAAAATGCTAGAACCATAAATTGGCTTCTCTCTGCTCTTCATCGCAGACATAGCATTGCCTTCCTGAGGCCCCTATTTTCTTCTGCCTTGGTCTAGCCACAACAAGCTGCTGCTTGACAGCAAAGCTCACAGGCTTGTAAACTCAGTGTAAGGTCTGTCATTCAAGTTGTTCTTCTGGAATTAGTGATGTGGTGTACTGGCTGCTCACCTCCTGTCAGGGTTTAAGCTACATAAGGCATAAAATTACTGGATTTAGACAAGGCAAAGATTCAATTCTTTATTCAGAGGTAACAAGATGATAATTTGAAGGCAAGTACTTCTTAATGATGATTAAGTTAAGTAATGAAAAATGTCTATCTTAACTCCTTAAGACTTTGTCTAGAAATCCCATAGCAATATGGAATTTCATTTTATTAGTTCACTGTATAGAAAAGTTTTACTTCATATCCTTCAAAACTTTAGTCTTGTATTTTAAAGTTTCAGAGAATAAAAACATTATTTAGCTGATGAACATCTGACTGGAAGATATGAGGTGGTGTCAATAGAAATATTTTTGAAAACTAGACAGGACTCATAATTTTTAATATCAACAATCCAGCAGCCAAAAGAGTTTAGCACCTGCATCCTCCTCTGGAGGAATTTAAGTGTCTGGGTTTGCACAAATAACAGGCGCTCATGAAGGTACTTAACAGTGAAACATTAGTATCGAGCAGATTTTCATTGCTCTCCTGAGTACTGATACTGCAGTGCTACCATTCTAAAGAAAGAAAAAAAAAAGAAGAAAAAAAACCCCTTAAAATGTTACCTAAAAATTTCAGTTATAGTGCCAAGTACATTGGGAAATCCAGCTGTAGTCATGAGTAGGACACAGCCAGCTGCTGAAGAGCTACTGCAGCAGAGGGTTAGCGCAGCTGGGACTGCTATGGAACATCTGTAAAGCAAAACTCAGAGAAGATTATACTGATATATCATCTAATGTGGCTTAAAAATAAATAACTACATAAATAAATAACCTTTTGCGTTCCAAGCCCTTGCTCAGATCCTGAACAAAAGCATCTCTAGGTATTCTTTTGCGTTTCTGTCCCAACAGAGTTTCAGCAGCCATCTTCATAACAGACCATTCTGTCCCCTTTTTTTTTTTTTGGTGTAAGAAAGTATTAAGGAGAAAAAATGCAGCTATATTAATTACAGAAGTGTCCACCGGCCATCCGAAAGCGTAAGTAAGTATTTCAACTAGTAAACCACGTACCACTTCACTGCTAGAACAGGCTAGCAGGAGAGCGCTACAGCAGAGTCCTGTGTGACGGCGATGCGGGCACAGCTCACCTGTCCCGACCCAGCGCCGCTCAGCCGCCCGCCCAGCGGCGCCAGCCCGGCCTCGGCAGCGGGGGCGCGCCCCTCGCCGCGACGAGAGCGCCCACCCCCGCCGCACCGCGCAGCCCGAACTGGCGCCCCCAACACCGCCAAAAGTTTCGCCCGCCGGCGTGCGGGGCCGACCCCACACGAGCCCGCCTTGGCCCGCTTTCCCTCCCGACAGCCGTGGTGTGGCCCCGGCGGCGGCAGGGGCGGGAAGGGGCGCTGCGCTGCCACCCCCCGGCGAGCGGCGAGTGCCCTCCCCGCGCCGCGCACTGCTCCCGGCCCGCACTGGCGGCTGGCAGGGAGGGAGGGAGGCAGGGAGCGCTCCGTCCTGCCCCGCCGCCCTCGGGGACGGGGGCGCACGGCCGCCATGTGAGAGCAGCGGGGCTCACGGCAGAGCCCGTCCCCGGCGCGGCGGGGCCGGACCGGCTGTGGCCGCCGCGCCGCGCTGCGGGCTGGGCAGGTCCG